GCGCGCTTCGCCGGCTTTTGCTGCGCGGGCAATTTTCTCACGCACGTCAGCGCCGTTTGTAGGCGTCAGAAAAACATGTAGACATTCACGAAGGGCTTAGTCTGTATATCGTCACATCATTACATACGCAGTCGTCGAACACATCGGTGTACATTCAGCGCTTTGTCCTTCTACAGCATTCTTTCCGTTGAGAACAGTGTTCTGATGGGTTCGCTTCGTTCTAAAAGCGTTGATAGCAGTGTCTCGTTTGCGGACAACTCATTCTATATCAACTCACTGATGCCGAGTTTCCTTTCACCATAAGTGAATGCATACCAGTGTATGTTGGTTACTACAAAAGTGGGTTCCTACAACCGACTTCATGATCGCTATCATCATCGCAGATTTCACTCATCCTCATCACCACGACTGGTTCACGTTGGCCTGCGGTGCTTCTCAGCCTGCAGTTCCTTTCGTTACACTGTAGTTGAAGCCGTTCATGGCAGTGACTCGTTTTAAGACAACTTTAGTATTGGGGGAAGTGTCGATAGCAGCGTTTCTTTTTACTTATACAAGCGTTGATAGCAGTGTCTCGTTTGTGGACAACTCATTATATATCAACTCATTCATGCAGAGTTTCTTTTCGCAGCATGTGAATGCACAGCAGTGTATCTGCATTACTGGCCCCCACTCCATTACCACTATCATCATCAACGATTTCCTACACGCGTGTGCGCGGCGGTCGCCATGAGTGAATAGTTTGCAGAGACTTCTCGCATAGATAGCCATGGGTCACTTCAGAGTGAACTCATTTGTGATCTTCTTTTATTGGAAGTTGAATCGGTTGATGGCAGTGCCTCGTTTAAACTCCACTTTGGTTTTGCTAGTAGTGTCAATGCCAGCGTTTCTTTTTAATTGTGCAAGCGTTGATAGCAGTGTCTCGTTTGTGGTTAGTTATAACAGCGTTGACAGCAGTGTCTCGTTTGCGGACACCTCATTGTACATCAACTCGCTGATGCCGGGTTTCCTATCAACACCATCATCATCATCCTCAAACCATGTTTGCTCGAGTTTCACCTGGCCGTCCAGCCGCGGCGGTGCTCCTCAGCCTGCCTTTTCACAATGCCAGCACGCGGCAAGGCATCGCCCCCGCCACCCCCGGCCCCGTGCGATGGCCCGTGGGAGATTCTGCCGGATCCGCCCGCGCCGACTCCTCAGCCAGGAGTCGACGTGGTCTTTGAGCAGGCTCACCTCGAAGACATCCGCCGTGCACCAGGGATGGGCGGCAAGACCGCCTGCCAGTGGCAGCGCGCGCTGCGCGCCGAGTGCATTGTCAACAACTTGTCGTTCAAAGACGTAACAAACGACCCGTCCTACGACTGAAGCAACTGCTTCGGTCTGCCGCTCCGGGTTTCGCTGAGCGCATAATCGGGCAGGGCATCGCCCAGGTTCTCTTTCGCATCATCGAGACAGAGCGCGACCCAAACTACTCCAACACGGATGGCCACGGCAGGCACTTCTTCGAGTTCCGTCGTGCAGACGGTTCAGCCATGCGCCTGCATTACCATAAGAACGGCCGACCCGATGAGCCCACCTATGTCGGTCCACCACGCGCCGTTGCTCAGCCTGCTGTGCCTGAGCCTGGCGCTGCTCAGCCTCATGTTCCTCGTGGCGGCGCTGCTCAGACTGCCGTGCCTGACGGTGGCGCTGCTCAGCCTGCCGAGACTGGCGGTGATGCCGCACTGCTCTTCACACAGGAGCACCTGCAAGAGGCAGCCTGCTCGCGCCAGATTGTGGGCCGCGACGAAGCCAGCGCCGCTCTCCAATCGCTGTTGCACTAACACCATGGCGAGACTGCCCCAGGTGCTGTTGACATCACCGATGGCTCAGCATTTGACTGGCTTCGATGGGTGGCACATATCGAAGATGCGCGCGACGTCATCCGCAATGGCGTCCACAGGGTCTACGCTGTCCGCTGGAATCCGCACTGGGCTCCAGAGGCCGTCTTCTGCTACGGCAACAACACCTACAGCACGCTGGTGCCCCGCAAATCGCGCTACACAGGCTCGTGGAGCCACGCGCGAATTGTGACTCACCGGAACGCCAATTGGGTGACCGAACCGTTGCTATCTGCGGCCCCTGTGGCAGCTACGCCGTGGCTGGTGTTGCGGGATCAATTAACCTGGGAGTGATCTCTGGCAAACGAGATGTGGTGCTTCTCAGCCTGCACTCATGTGACACGCAATGCCGTGCCCTGCAATCGCGTGGTGTTTCTCAGCCTGCACTCGCAGGTCCTTCGGAGGTCAATTGTGATGAGTTCGGCACGGTCTCGGTCAAGTACAGCGTGCTGTGGGGATCCCGAGATGGGGCCTGGCTCAAGGTGCTCAAGACGTACTGGAGTGTCCCAGAGCCGGAGTGACAGCTGATCCTCGGGAGTTGGAACGGCATTTTCAGGCCGTGGCCGGACACGTTCTGGATCAGGACGGGGGGGTCCGAGCCCGAGATGGAGTGCTAGCGCTCTGCAGTACAAGTGCTTTTTTTTTTTTGTTTTTTTTTGTTTTTTTTTTTTTTTTTTTTTTTTTTTTTTTTTTTTTTTTTTTTTTTTTTTTTTTTTTTTTTTTTTTTTTTTTTTTTTTTTTTTTTTTTTTTTTTTTTTTTTTTTTTTTTTTTTTTTTTTTTTTTTTTTTTTTTTTTTTTTTTTTTTTTTTTTTTTTTTTTTTTTTTTTTGTTTTTTTTTTTTTTTTTTTTTTTTTTTTATTTTTTTTTTTTTTTTTTTTTAATTTTTTTTTTTGTTTTTATTTTTTTTTGTTTTTCTTTTTTCTTTTTTTTTTTTGTTTTTTTTTTTTTTTTTTTTTTTTTTTTTTTTTTTTTTTTTTTTTTTTTTTTTTTTCAGCATGCGACATCCTGCGGTGCTTCTCAGCCTGCAGGGTTCGCAGCGTGCGGTTTGCAATGCATTCCTTTTCAGTATGCGAGTTCCTGCGGTGTTTCTCAGGCTGCAGGGCTCCGAGGCTCTTCGCTTCGATGCCAATGTTTTCAGACACCGTAGCTCCGTTCCGTAAACATCTTCCAAGAGCCGCTCGCACCCTTTTGCAGCTGGCGGTCTGCAGACGTAGTCTGTCTCAGCATGCGAGCTCCCGCACGCTTCGCCGGCTTTTGCTGCGCGGACAATTTTCTCACACACGTCAGCGCCGTTTGTAGGCGTCGGAAAAACATGTAGACATTCACGAAGGGCTCAGTCTGTATATCGTCACATCATTACATACGCAGTCGTCGAACGCATCGGTGTACATTCAGCGCTTTGTCCTTCTAGCTGGGTCGCTTCGTGCTGAGGCTGAGGCTGATGCAGGCCGAGGCTGAGGCAGGCTGAGGCTGGGGCCGAGGCCGACGGCAGACTGAGGCTGAGGCTGAAGCAGGCTGAGGCTGAGGCAGAGGCAGGCTGAGGCTGAGGCTGAGGCTGAGGCAGGCTGATGCTGAGGCAGGCTGAGGCTGAGGCTGAGGTTGAGGCAGGCTGAGGCTGAGGCAGGCTGAGGCTGAGGCCGAGGCTGAAGGCAGACTGAGGCTGAGGCTGAAGCAGGCTGAGGCTGAGGCTGAGGCAGGTTGATGCTGAGGCAGGCTGAGGCTGAGGCTGAGGCAGGCTGAGGCTGGGGCTGTGACTGCGACTGCCGTTGCCACTGCGACTGTCATCGCGAATGCGACTACGACTGCGAGAACAGCAGAATTCTACAACTGGATTCTCATCTGAATCTTAAGGGGAATGCTTCCAGATATGCTCCTACACATCGCTGTTAGGTTGCTTTGCCGGGATAATTTTCCGGAGGCGTTGCGACAGCAGGCATGAAGGCGAAGTAGTTGCTTTGGAGCTTGTCGTGGGGGTTCTTGCCTCTACTGTCCCAGCGCCGTGCCTGGGTTGTGGTTCAGAGTCCTCAGGGATGCTTCTCGGGATCTCTTCGGAGCGCTCTCGAGGACTTCGGGGGGGCAGGTTCGGGGCCTCTTCGGAGCGTCTTGGGAGCCTCTTGGGGGCGTCTTGGAGGCCTCTTGGGGCTTCCTGGGGGCCTCTTGGGGGCCTCTTGGGGCCCCTTGGAGGCCTCTTGGGCGCCCCTTCGGGCCTCCTGGGGACTTTTTGGGGCCGAGGGCTCGAAATGTCCGTTCGGGCCCCCCGTCTGGGCTCTTTCTTGGAGCCGTATTGGCACCCTCTTGGGCCGTCTTGGGGCCCTCTTGGGCCGTCTGGGGCCCTCTTGGGCCGTCTTGGAGCTCGGCGGGGCCTCTGGGGCTTGTCTCCTAACATCTCTCAAATTCCATATGACGACATGTGTGCCTCTGGGGGCCCCTTGGGGCGTCTTGGAGGGGCCGCCACGCGGGCGCGAACTAGAAACAGTGCAAACCTGTTTCCGGAGATCTTCGCACGCCTCTGGCCCGGTGCTTGCACCCATGGCGTCATCTTTTGGCCCTGGTGAACTGAGCTTGCTGACGTCCTACCACTGCGCATGTCCTCCAAGCCCATGTTGTCCCAGACAACGCATGCGCACGTCCTCCCACTCCTTGCCTCGCCCTCCTGACTCATCCCCTCGTTCCTCGACCCTCTCCTGCTCCTCAGTCGCCCTGTCCTCCAGCTCCTCTGATCCCGCCCTCCGCAGGCCCCAAAAAGTCAAGGGCCATGCGGGCGGCGGCAATGAGCCACAGGGAAGGCAGGGGGGACATCGCCAACCTCACACACCCGGCAAACCCGTGGCCTCGGTCGGATTGCACCAGTGCAGTCGCGAGGCCTTCAGACGCGCTGCGCTTAGGCCATGCACCTTCCCACACGCCATGCGCGCCAGGGGAGGGGAGAAGGGGGGAGGGGGAGAGGGAGGAGACAACAGAGGGGGAGAGAGGAGGAGCAGGAGGAATCAGTGGGAGAGGAGAGAGTGGCACAAACGGGACAAACATATGGATCCTCGATCCTTTGACCCTCCCTCCCATCCTTCAAACTCGTGATGCCATTAGCTCCCCCTCCCATCTCTCCTGCACCTCTTGGCGCCAAGACGCTGGAGAAGCGGACAAAGGAGGCCGTAAAGGCCAGGAAAGCCTTCACCTGGGAGAAGCAGAAGGACCTGGGAGGGCCAACACCTTCCGCGTCCTCCATCTCGCTGCGAACAAAAATCATGACGGACGGTTTTGGCACGTTCTCGGCCTCAGGGGCCTTTTACGGGTCCCGGGACCGTCAACAAAAACGACTCAGGAAGGAAAGCAGGTTCCTGGGAAGGGGTCCAGACCTTTGGAAGTCCACATTGTGAAAACATCACGGCGTAGGATTTTTGGGTCCTCGTCCTCCCTTTCCTTCATTTGGGCGATGTGGCTTGGGTACGGCTGCTGGTCAGTGCGGAGAATAGGAAAACAAGAAGAATTGGACAAGTAATGTGAGCCTCTCCTTGGCCTCGCCCTCCTCCTTCTGCAGAAGCTCGAAGGAGGTGGGGTACGGTTTCGTTGGTTCTTTGAGGTTCCTTCGCTTCGGGACGTTTTCCACCAGCTGTGCCTCGTCGAGAGCTTTCTGTGGAGGCCCCAGTTGTGACCCGGAAAGTACCAGGAATCTTCTCGTCATGCCTCTCCTTGATTTTCTGACGTGGCCCTGGCCGAAGCACGACTTTACCGAACAGTCACGCGACAACATATACGTAACAAGATACGCCCGACTTGGGCGACGTGGACTCTCAGTGCGGCTGGTGGCCAGTGCGGGAAGTGGGTAGGCGAAGAGAATTTGAGAAAGAGTCCTTCGACGCTCGAGGTGGGGGGTGTGGGAGGAGGTTCCAGCAGCTGTGCCCCGTGATGTTGTCCAGCAGTTGTACCTCGTCGAGAGCTCTCTGGGGGTGCGCGGCTCGTCCTGAGCGGCCGCTGGGGGCCCGAGTTTCGACCCGAAAGCCACCAAGCGTCTCGTCGTCCTCCCCGCTCTTCGACCTCCTGTGTCGCCTCGCTGGCATCATCATCATCGCCTTGGTGTCCATCATCATCATCATCATCATCATCATCATCATCATCATCATCATCATCATAATCATCATCATCATCATCATAATCATCGTCATCATCAGCAGCAGCAGCATCAGCAGCATCAGCATCATCATTCTCATCGTCGTCATCGTCATCGTCATCGTCATCGTCAGCATCATCATCATCATCATCATCATCATCATCATCATCATCATCATCATCATCATCATCATCATCATCATCATCATCATTATCTTCATCATCATCTGCATCATATTTACCATCATCAAAATCCTCATCATCATCATCATCACCATCACCATCACCATCGCATGTGCGGAAGCTGCTGCCTGTGCTGCAGCGCTTTTGGCCGCCGAGGGAGCTTCGATGACGCTTCCCACCCGACGTAGTATCATGACCATCACCACTGCTCCTCGCCTCGTATTGAGGACGTTCGCTCGCGATGCGAGCGCCCCTGCAGACCAAGTCACTATTACTAGCTTTGCCCCCCTCCCGTACGCATTGCCATGAGCTCATATCTTCGGGCGAAGAGGCGATGATAAAGGGAGCATGCCGAGCAGGACGAGGATCAGAGGAGCAGGTACCGACTAACCTTTCCTTTTCCCACGGCTGGATTCGCTTCGATGTTTTTGTTAGAAGTCACCTCGAGATAGGCCCACGGAGTCACGGTACGGGAGTTCTGTTTTATTGCCCCAGAGGAAGAGGAGCAGCAGCAGCAGCAGGAGCAGGAGCCACCGTAGGAAGAGCAGGAGGACGAGGATGAGGAGGAGGTGGACGACGACGACGAGGACGCGACGAGGAGGGTCAGGAGGAGGAGGAGGAGGAGGAGGAGGAGGAGGAGGAGGAGAGGAGGAGGAGGAGGAGGGATAAGGGGGAGGAGGAGGGGGAGGGGAGAGGAGGAAGAGGAGGAGGAGGAGGAGGAGGAAAGGAGGAGGAGGAGGAGGAGGAGGAGGCGGAGGAGGCGGAGGAGGCGGAGGAGGCGGAGGAGGAGGAGGAGGAGGAGGAGGAGGCGGGAGGAAGAGGGAGGAGGAGGAGGAGGAGGAGGAGGAGGAGAGGAAGAGGAGGAGGAGGAGGAGGAGGAGGAGGAGGAGGAAGAGGAGGAGGAGGAGGAGGAGGAGGAGGAGGAGAAGGAAGGGGAGGAAGGGAAGGCTGGATCGGGCTCTGGGGGAGGAGGAGGCGGAGGAGAGGGAATTGGCGGATCAAGGAGGAGCTGCACTGGCAGGAGGAAGAGGGTGGCCGCCCCAGAGCAGTGGCCAATAGCGCGACGAGGGGGAGAGCCGGTCTCGGCCGCGCCCGCGAGGAGCTGCAGGCGAAACAGAAAGAGTGGCCGCGGGCCTGGCCCGACATAGAGGATCGAGGGCAGAGGATCGAGGTTTTCGGGCACTTCTTTCCTGGCTTTTCTCGCCGCCCTCTGGGCGTCGGCGGCTGGTGGACTAGGCCGGCATCGCCTTGAACGACGGGCTTGCAGGTCTTCCCTGGCCGCTTCCTGGCTATAACCTGCCAGGATTCTCTTCTCTCCGGCACCCCGACCGTTCTCTCCAGCATTTGGGGGCCTCTGGAGGCCTACGTGTGTCTCCCAGGGCTTCTGGCCCCCCCCAGGGATCCCCTGGAGGGCCTCCCCGTTCTACTACCCCTTCTCGTCCTTGTCTTCGATATACCTGGCTACCTATCTGCCTGTCCTCACCCACCCACCCACTCCTCGTCCTCGTCCTCGTCCTCCTCCGCCCCCTACTCCTCTTCCTCCACCCCTCCTCCTCCTCCTCCTCCTCCTCCTCCTCCTCCTCCTCGTCCTCCTCCTCGTCCTCCTCCTCCTCGTCCTCCTCCTCCTCGATGGTCTCCTACTGTACCTTTACTGCCGCCCCCTACACGTCGCCATCCGCAAAGCGCTGGCACGACCATTCCCACTTCCAGTTCTTGAACGATTGGGTCTCTGCCCGCCTGGAGTCGAGTCCTACGCCTGCCTCGCGGTGTTGTATGCTACGTACAATGAAGCTAGGCTGGTTGCTCACTGGCCTTTATCTGTTGATCAGGTCTACAGCTGTGCACTTGCTGGAGTCCGTGCGATGCGGCTGGCGCCTCCGAAGGACCAGTCGGCTGAGCTTGCGGCCAGGCTGGCCCCGACTGGCTTTACGCACCATGGGAGACCGTCTTCTTCTTCCTCGAGCTCATGCTCTTCTGCGTCTGACTCCGACTGAAGCTTAGGGGAGGAGGCTGGCACCGAAGTATGCTGTGCCCACGCTGTCCTACCAGAGGCCCAAGCGGATATTATGGGAGCCGCGCCTGCCCGTGCTGTTTTGTGCGAGCGTCAGCGACCTGGACATCCTGATAGTCCCTGTCTTACACCTCGCCCCTCCTCATCAGAGTGCGTGTCAGATGAGGCGGAAACTGCGAGTGATGCATCTGATAGTGTTGTGTTCATGGACCTATGCCCCTCCACTCCTGCAGCGTTGATCGCTACTCCCGAACGAGTCGGTCGTCTTTCTGACTGGGATGACATCTCGGCGTCGCTGACTGCTACACTGGTTTTGACGCGGGATACTGGCATGGTGCTTTCCCCTGTGTCTGGGGATCTCCAGCCCATTCAGAGTTCGTCTGTATCTCATCCTGTGCGCTCGCGTGTGGTGCGCAGATCGGCCTCTGGGCAAGTGCTATCCACGTCCCCAGGGCACGCGAGGGTTACCCGCTCGGCGTCTACACCCCCGTCAACTTCGAGATTGATAGCCCCGTGTTCACAGATCACAATACTTGCGTCAATGAGTACATGTTTTGAAAATCGTTCGTTCAATCTCCCCGCGGCGCTGATTTCCGGCGTTGATACGGTGCCGTCTCGGACGGGGGTCTCGGCGTTGATTTCCGGCGTTGATATCGCGTCCTCTGTTCCGATGGGGTCTGCAACGCAGAGGGAGTCTCAGGTCTTGTTTCTTGTGAGTGCTGGTATTTCGTTTTCAGTGCAGAGAGGGTCTCAGATTTGGTCTCTAGGGAATGCTGGTACTTCGTCGCCTGTGCGGAGGGGGTCCCGGATAGTTTCTCATGGGATGGATACCGCGACTCCTGATCGTCCTCAGTGCGGCGACCTTGAGGCGCGGGCTGCTGCTTCCGCCGCTGTTGTCCCCCCTCCTTCTCCTCCTGCTGCTGCTCCTTTCGCTCATTCCTCGACTGAAAGAACCGCTCGCAACGTGCACATCGCCGTCGGCACTGTTCGTGCCGACCAGCCGATGGCTGGTGCGCCCCCGCACCCACCGCGGCCCCGCCCGCCGCCCGACGCCCTCAAGTGCGTCGAGGCGCGGCCGAGGAGTGGGTAGGCAGGAGCGGAGGATCCTCCTTGTACGCGGGTCTCCTCCTCCTCCTCCTCCTCCTCCTCCTCCGCCTCCTCCTCCTCCTCCTCCCCCTCGTCTCTGTAGTCATATTGGCTTAAAAGCTTGTGCTTCCCTGCCAAAAGGTACCGCTTGCACGCGGCTTGACCTGAGTTTTTTTCAGCCACCCCAGTCGAGCTTCCAACTGCTGAGGGGCTTGCAATCCCGTTTTCAGGAAGTCGCGCCAAAGGCTTCGGATGGCAGGAGACGAAGTTTCCAGGCCCAGTCGAGAGGCACACCGGCGTAGAGCGGCAGTCGGTCGGTGTTGAGAATGGTATGTGCGTCGTGTCTCAGGCGTGGCATGGTGCATGGTGGAACAGGTCGGACAGCGTCAGTTGTCAGTAATGCGGGGTGGCGAGGAGGTCGCCTTTTCCCCCAAACGACGGCCGAGCCGCAGCTTGCGGTTTCCAAGAATGCGCTTGACAACGGTGTTACGGTTCCGCCGTGGCAGACGGGCAATCTGGCAGAGCTCGAGAAACAATTGTTGCTCGCCCAGCAGCAAAGCGTGAAGGCCAACAGGAACGACGGTGACGGCGGCGAGTGCATAGAGGTCGTCTCGGGCGAACTGTCACACCATGCGAGCAATGCGCAGATCAAGGCAAGCCTGTAGGAGATCGACCAGGCTTGCGCGTGTATCAGGGGGTTTAAGGAATATCGCTTGGTGTCTGCGAGGGAAGGGCTGCAGGTCGAGAGAAACAGGTTACTTTTAGAGCTTGGGTCTTCCACAACGGTGCCTGCGCAGCTACGGTTTCTGGCGCACCAATCGCGTCGACCCAAGCAGAAGAAGGTCAAGCACAGGTCAAGCATGAGGAGCTGTTGGCTAAAGCTAGTCAGGGCCCTAAGACGGCACCGGCTGCGACATCCGATCAGCAGGCGCATATCGTGGAGCGTGGAGGCCAAACAGGCGATCTTGGCCATCGCGGAGGAAGGCGAAGTTGGCGGCGGCCGTCGTCACAGGCGGAGGTGGCAGAGGTGGTCTCAGCGCCCGTCATCTCGCATGGCAGAATGAGCAGAACCTTCAGGTGCTTGGGCGGCGATGGCACCGTCAGCACCAAGCTCCGACAGGCCTCGGCCGAAGTTCGGGAATTAGGGGGAAGCAGAAGGCTGCCGATCAGGTCAAGGAGTGGCTGGTGCAAACGCCAAAGCACCACGAGGCCATTCTTTTGCAGGCGGGCCGCCAAGTGGAGGCGGAAGCGCACGAGAGCCAGAAGGAGCCGGTGCCCCAATCCCGAAAGCTGTCGGGACGGATTCGGACGAGCTGCGCGAGTTCTTTGGCAAGGGGGGCCCACGGTCAGTGGCAGAGTCAGGAGTGGGAAGGGTGGAAAGCCTAGACTTAGGCCAATATCCAGCCTAAGTAGGGGAGCCTGGTGGACTGTCCTCGTGTGTTACGCGTGGTTCACGGTGGTGGCGGCACGGTGGCGGGCTCGGTGGACGCCCACCCCCTTTCCAGGCCTCCTCCGATTCAAAGTGGCTCATATATTTCCAGACCTGTGGGGAGAGGAGAGAGGACAAGTACAACGACAAAACAGAAAAGAGGAGGGAGGAGAGGGAAGAGAGGGAGAACAGGTAGGAAGGAGAGAGGAGGAGGAGGAGG